CTCTCTCTCTCTCTCTCTCTCTCTCTCTCTCTCTCTCTCTCTCTCTCTCTCTCTCTCTTTCTTGTTTTCTTTCGAAACAGGGTTTCTTTGTTGTCCTGGAACTTGATCTGTAGACCAGGCTGTCCTTAAACTCATAGAAATCCACCTGCCTCCCAAGTGCTGGGATTAAAGATGTGCATACCTGGCCAAGACTTCTTTATTATTACTACATATATTATTGCAATAATTATTGTATTTAATATTATTATTAGAGCAGATGTGAGGAAGACTATATGTCAATCTGTCTGTCTTTTTTTTTTTCAGTGTTTGATAACTCAATGGCTAGTAGGATGTGCCAGCATTGGGAGAAACAACTTGCTGTCTATAATATGGGTGTAGACAAGGAGATAGAGCACAGACCACAGGGTGCCTCATTGAGTTCTGTATTGGACAGATGGTAGGGAACTCAAAGGTAGAAAGTGTGCAGAGGTTGCTCCAAGGGAAAGAATATGTAAAGTCACAAAGAGCTTAACTTGTTTGAGAAACTTGGTTTCAGTACTGTTGGAGGGTAAAGTACAGTTAGTACTTTCTGTATTTGAGGTTTTTTTTTTTTTTGGGTTGATGAATTGAAACAACCAAGGGCTTACAACAAATTGCATCTGGTTAAGGATGTAGCTTAGCTGATAAGAATAGTTGCCTAGAGGCTTTGAGTTTGATTTTCAGTAGCACAAACCTCCCATGTAGAAAGTATAGGCATATGGATCAGAAGTTCAAGGTCTTCCTCAACTACATAAAAAGTTCAAGGATAGTCATGGCTGTATCAGAAGTCTCAAAAAGAAAAATTGGCATGTAAAAAATAAAAAAATTAAAAAAAAAGAAAAAGAAAAATTGTACCACCATATTTTATTCCCTGTGCTGGATACTTTTATATCAACTGGACACAAGCTAAAGTCATTTGAAAGGAGGGACCTCAATTAACAAAATTCTTCCATGACTGTTACCAAGCCTGTAGGACATTTTCTTAATTAGTGACTGATGGTGGATGGCCCAGCCCATTGTGGATGTTGCCATCCCTGAGCTGGTTGTCCTGAATTCTATAAAAAAGCAGGCTGAATGAGCCACGATGAATAAGCCAGTCAGCAGCACTCCTCTATGGCCTCTGCTGATCCATCAGCTCTTGCCTCAGGTTCCTGCCCTATTTGAGTTTGTATCCTGACTTCCTTGATTATGAGCTATGATATAGAAGTGTTAGCCAAATAAACCCTTTCCTCCCCAAGTTGCTTTGTTGATAGAAATACAACAGCAATAGTAATCCTAAGTAAGACATTCCCTAAACAATATAACATCAATTATTGGCTGAGCCTTTACATCGTATTAGATGGTATAAGTAATTTAGATTTAAAGAATAGAGGAAGACGTGTGTAGGATATGTGCAAATAGTGAGCCAGTTTATATGAAGGATTTGATTATCCTTTAATTAAGATAACTAGGGGAGAGGGTTCCATATCCTATGGGTGCCTGAGCTGAGTTACTGATTGTTTTGCTAGGGCCAGATTTGATATGGAATGAGAGTTTTTAAAAATTAATTATTTTTTATTGTGTGTGTGTTATGTATATATGTGTATGTGGTTTTTGTAGGAGTTCATGTTACTATGCAAAGAAAGGGACTAGGGAGGAGGACAGCAGGTGTCTTGTATCATGGTCTATCTTACTCCGTTTGTTGAACCTGGAGCTAGGCTGGAGGGCAGCAAATCCCAGTGATCCTTCTGTCTCTGCCTCCTCCCACAATGCTAGGGTTACAAAACATGGCCATGGGCTGGGCCTTTTACGAGGACTTTGAATTCTGAACTTCAGTTTTGCACAGCTCTTGCCAGCTGAGTGAGCTCCTCCTGTATTGATGTTATGGTACTGTTTCTGTCGTCAGTAGATTAGCTTAGCTTCTGGTGGTTTTTTCATGTGATTGGTTTTTAAACTTTTTTTTTTTTCCAAGACAGGGTTTCTCTGTGTAGCCTTGGCTGTCCTGGAACTCACTCTGTAGACCAGGCTAGCCTCGAACTCTCGAACTCAGAAATCCGCCTGCCTCTGCCTCCCAAGTGCTGGGATTGGTTTTTAAATTATTATAGAAAAACATCTTATAAAAAACTGGAAGCACACTTCAGCTCTGTGCTAGAGATATTGAACATCTTTCATGCAGTGTATATGCTAGGCCTTTATATATGTGCATATGTGAGATAGTGGACCAGTACATGTGTGCTTATTTGAGGACTTGGGACTGTGTGTTAGTTTGAAGACACTAGGACAAGGGATTAAGATGCATATTTTACATATCAAAGCAGACCTGACTCCCAGGTTGTCCCAGCAGTTCTTCCCTCGTATACCCTGTCCCCAACCCTGGACTTCCCAGCCCAGTGACTAGGCTGCCTTCAGAGGCTCCTCCTTGGTGTCTCTCTCTGTCTCTCTGTCTCTCTTTCTCAGTCTCTCTGTCTGTCTCTGTCTGTCTCTGTCTGTCTCTGTCTCACTCTCTGGGTTGTGTGTGTGTGTGTGTGTTTGTTTATGTGTGTGTTCCTCTTCCTCTCCTCTTCTCTGCTTTCTGTGTGGACTCTCTCTCCACCTCACTTTCCCCTTGGGGCCAGTGAACTTGCCTGACAACAGCTTCCCAATAAACCTGCCTTTATTATAATCAAATTTGGCTTGAATTGGCTCATTTCCACCAGTGGAGAAATAACTTATCACTGTGGTAGACGGTACTTCTAAAAAATTCATTTTTACTTGGAAAGGTTTTTTGGAGGTCAGTTTTACAGTCACATCAGTGATTCTGTGTGCAGAATAGGAGCATGTTAGGGAGCCCCCTGAGGCCTCTTTTTCCAGGAGTTAGTCCATTGTTGATAGCCACTTTTTCTTTGCAGAAACATCTGTAGCCATCATGGAGGTGGCAGAGGTGGAGAGTCCCCCAAATCCCAGCTGTAAGATAATGACCTTCAGACCTTCCATGGAGGAGTTTCGGGAGTTCAACAAATACCTCGCATACATGGAATCTAAAGGAGCCCACCGAGCAGGTCTTGCCAAGGTGATTATATTCAGACTGTCTTGAAAAGTATCATTTGACTTTGGAATTATGTTATTAGTTTTTGATTATTTCAGTGTAATATGTCTGCTATTCTTATTCATCCACCTGGAACACTTAATTATACTAGACTGTGTTCTATAATCCCCCCCCCCTCTTCTTTTTTGGTTTTGAGATAAGTTCTTTCATTGTCTTGAGTCATGGTCATCTTCTCTCTTCAGCCTCCTGAATGCTGGGATTATAGGCCTTAGCAACTATGCCCGTCTCACATTAAAACAACAACAATCTGTGTAACTTAACACAAGATACAATATCCTCAATCTACAGTTTGTAATTCAGTAGTATTTGTTTATTGTTTATTCAACTAGCTTTATAGGTGTCACCACTATCAAATTCTGTGTGGATATCACATATAGAAACTATATATTTAAAATGGTCATTTCCAGTTTCCTGGTATCACTGTTGCCCTAGGCAATCACAGTCTCTATCAATTTGCCTTTTGACCTATTTTTGAAAAAAAAGAAAAACCCATTATTTGTGTGTGATGCCTGTGACATGTGAAGATATATAGATTGCACACCCCATCTCTGGAGGCCAGAGGCCAGCTTTAGAGTTGATTTTCTGCTTTTACCCTGATGCGGGTTCCAGGGAACAATGTTGGTTATCAGTAGTTATTTGTTTTTGTTTTGTTTTTTTCAAGACAGGGTTTCTATATGTAGCCCTGGCTGTCCTGGAACTTTCTCTGTAGACCGGGCTGGCCTCTGCCTCCTGAGTTCTGGGATTAAAGGTGTATATTACCATACCAGGCTGTAACAAGCATGCTTACCACTGAGCTGTTTTCACCAGATCTTAGTTATTTAGTTTTCTTTGTGTGTGAAATGCCTGCTGTGTAGTAGTCTTGGAAGGCATGCAGATAGGATAGAGCTGGGCAGTGGTGCCAAATGTCTATAATCTCAGCACTTGGGAGGCAGAGGCAGGCGGATCTCTTGAGTTTGAGGACAGCCTGGTCTTTAGAGTGAGTTCTAGGACACCCAAGGCTACACAGAAATCTTGTTTCAAAAAAACCAAACCGACCAACCAAGCAAACAAACAAGCAAAAAATTAGGGTGAAAGAATCCAGATTAGAGACATACTCAGGAGGTAAAATATTTGCTACCAAACGTGTGAAGACTTAAATTCAGTCTCCAAAACCACTTTAAATCTGCAGCCAATAGCAGCATATCTATTGTAATCCCAGCCCTCCAGTGGCAGTGGCAAATGAAGACTCATGGCTAGCCTGGCATAGAAGGTGGTAAAGAGACTGTCTTAGCATTTATTGCTGTGAAGAGACACCATGACAGCTCCTATAAAGAAAATGTGAAGAGACACCATGACAGCTCCTATAAAGAAAACATTTAATTGGGCCTGGCTTATAGTTTCTGAGGTTTAGTTCATTATCTTCATAGCTAGAAGCATGGTGAGCAGGCTGTTATGGTGCTGGAGAAGGAGGTGAGAGTTCTACATCTTCTTCAGCAAGAAGCAGGAAGAGAACTGTGAGCCATTGAGCCTGGACTTGAAAATCTCAATGTACTCCCCCACAGTGACACACTTCCTCCATCAAGACCAACCTATTCCAACAAGGCCACATTCCCATCCTATGGGTCAAACATTCAAACATATAAGTCTGTGGGTGGCATTACTATTCAAATCACCACAGAGACCTGTGTCAAAAGAGTAGGAGTTAAGAGTTAAGGAAAAACATCCTAGGTTGTCCTCTCTGCCCCTCCACTCATCGATGATGTATGTGCGTGTGTGCATGTGCATGCGTGTGTGTGTGTACACCTGCACATACATGCTTATGAAGTGTATAAAAGGGCTTTGAATCATTTAGAACTAGGTTTACTGGTATTGTCACCCACCCAGTAGGATTACTCAGATTTGAATTATGATCCCCATGATTGAGCAGCAAGTGCTCTCAGCTGCTGAATCATTTTTGCAACTCACTCGATTAATTTTTTTTAAGACAGGTTTTTGCTAAATGCTGGGATTACATCCTACTGAGGTTGTGCATCAGGGGTTTATTCTACCTGCAGTGAGAAACGAGGATGGTCTTTAAAGTAGATGGATTAGTTTGACAAAACAATTTCAGGAAGGAATGATTTATTTTGACAGTTTTAGAATACAGTTCCTTATAGTGGCAGGGACGTGAGGCAGCTGGTCATATTACCTCTATACTCTGGAAGCTGGAAGAGATGAATACTTTTGTTCAATTTGGTTTTTTTTTTTCTTTCTACTTTTTAATATAGTTTGGAATCTTAGCCCACACTTAGGATGTTCACATCTCTGTCATACAATCTAGATCTGGCTCTTAGGTGACTTCTGTCAAGTCAACAATCAATATTAACTATTAAAATTGGGAAGAAAGATGTTGTAGTAGTAGATGTTTCCTTGTCCTGTTCTTTTGCTGTGTTGAGACATTGTTTGAAAAAAAAAGTTACACTGGCTTCTATGTAAAAAATGAGTTTGATGTTAAAGGCAAGTGTCCACAGGAAGCCTTACCAGGGATAGTGTGCAGATCTAGTGAAGAGCTCTTGGTAGCTTTGAACACTTAAAAAGAGAAGCAATCTTTGAGTATGTTTATCTATTCTTGTTCTTAAAAATATGAGATTATGTCTTTTAAAAAATAATGGTAAATGAAGTGCTTAAGTTCATAGGAGAGTTCCGTGAGGTACCAAAGGCTATAATTTCATTATATAAACGCATGAGACAAGCAGAGGCTGTTGCTAGGCTGATACTTTCACAGGGAAAGGTTTTTTCCCCTGGACTTTCCATATCTATTGTGAAGGTCAAATTATTAGGTGAACAGAGAACTTTAGCACTAGGTTTAGTGTACAAGATGTCTTGATTCATACTAGAGACTGTTTGTAATCCAGTTCATCATTGTTTGTGGCATTTTGTATCCAGAGGTCATTCCTTATGTTAGGTAGCTGTTGTCAGTAGTTGTCCTCTGACTTCTACATTTGTTCTGTGCACTTCCTATGCCCCCATGTCCCCATCCTCATATTCAGAATAAGTAAATGTAAAAGTTATTTAGAATTTGCTTTTTCAGTTTTGGTCTTAGAACGTTCAGATTTTCATTTGATGTAGACATAGGGGAATCATTTTCAGTTGAACTGAAGGTGTTATTTTTTTCAGTCATTTGTCATGAATATGAAATGAAATATAATGTATTATCAAGAATATGGGCTTTATTTGCCTAGAGAGAAGCTGGAGATCACTTCCTCCATTCCAGATATCTTGCTGTCTGTCTATGTATTTTATTTTATTTTATTTTTAGACAGATTTCTCATATATCCCAGAATAGCCTGGAAACCTCAGTTTCCTGGTTGTCCTGCCTCCATCATTAAATGCTGGGGTGATGGCATATGTGTTACTACATTGTGTTCATTATTTGACCTTTTTATGAAAACATTTTTTGTCCCTTTTTTGTTTCTTGAAAACATCTGTTGGTCCACTGAGATTAGTGTACTGTCCAGTGGTAATGTGACCTGTTTAGTAACTAGAAGAGGAAATAGCAGCTACTCATGAGGGAGCCGTAGGCGCACTGAGCACACCCATAACAGGGTGTAACAGGATACAGTTAATGAGAATTACAAATACACCTGAGTCTAGTATACCCCACCCTCATTGTAATACTCATTGACAAAGACAACATTCTATAGTAATGTTCTGTTGTACTAGGATGACAGCTGAACTGCTTGATTCTAATCATATTTTGCTGTATTCTCATTGTCACATAAATTATATTTAACCTAGTCTTATTCCAACAAACCATGTTACTTGGTTAAAAATCCAGACTATACAGATGTGGATATTTTTCTTTTCTGTGGGGGAAGAAAGGTCCCCTGTGGTTCCTTTCTTTTGTATTATTGACATTTCATCGATTTGTCTTAACTTACAATAATTGCCTTAACTTACAATAATCAGTATTTGAGTACTTCAATTATAGTGAGTTTGATTTCAGATTAATCCAATTTTGTTTTTTTCTTTCTATATATGCATATACATATATATGTGTGTGTGCTTCATAAACACAAGAGAGTGAAGATATGTACTCGTGCCTGCAAGATGAAGATAGCATTGTTCTTCTATTGGCGGTTTGTAGATAGGATCTGGCTTCAACATATCTAGTGGGCATGCATGCTTTAGCTGGAAATGCCTGGGTTTGGGGAAACAGTGACATAAAGTATGTATTCTATCTTGATATACTCAGGAAAGTAGTCTATATAGTTGATAGAAATATAGCAGAATAGGTTTACTTTAACTTTAACTCATTAAACATAAAGGTATTACTATTAAATTGTTTATTGACCAAATATGTTGTACTTGGTTTGAACTGTGTAAGGTAATTTCATATTTAAAGATTTAAAATCGAACTGGTAGGATGACTGTAGGTAAAGCATTTGCCTTACCTGCTGCTAACTGTTGAGTTCTGGATCTCATGGGTAGGAGAGAGAACAAACTCCTGAAAGTTGTCTTCTAATCTCCATTTACATTCCACTTCCATCCCCCATGCACATAGGAAAATAAAATAAAATCTAAAATTAATTTAAAAGAAAATATTTGGTATAGGCTTGGATCACGCAGCCTCCCTCCCTCCCTCCCTCCCTCCCTCCCTCCCTCCCTCCCTCCCACCCTCCCTCCCTCCCTCCCTTCCTTTGTTCCTTTCTTTCTTCCTTCTCTTTTTCCTTCTTTTTGAGATGGGGTCTTTCTATGTATACCTGTCTGGCCTGGACCTCACTATATAGATAGGCTGGCCTCAAACTTAGAACTTAGGCTTAACTTTGTAGTCACTTTAATTTTATTTGATGCTTTGTTCTCTATCATTAAAAAATTACTTAAAATATTCCTGGTGGGCTAGAGAGGTTATGTTTAATGATTCAAAGCACTTGCTGTTATTGCAGAGGAACTGGGTTAGTTCCCTACACCTACATGGTAGTATACAATCATGCATTACTCCAAGGATGTCAGACAATCATGTGGACATGTAGGCAGCACACATCTAAAATAAAAATTAAAAAAAGAAAGTTTTAAGAAAAAATAAAATATTCCTGGGAAACTAGTTTACTTCTTTCTTTTATTATTTGCTTATTTTTATTTTTAAAATTAAAATTTTTTATTATTTCTGTGTGTGTGTGCGTGTGCGTGTGCGTGTGCGTGTGCATGTGCTTGTGTGTGTGTGTGATGTGAGTGTGGGTATATCCAGAGGTCAAACAACCTTTGGAAGTCATTTTTGTCTTTCTAGCAAGAGTTCTAGGGATTAAACTCAGGTGGTGTCTGGTGCACCACTTATATGTAGGAGATCTCAGAGGTCAGAGGAGGACATTGAATCCCCTGGAACTGAGTTATAGGAAGTTGTGAATTGCCATTTGGGTGATGCGAGTCTTTTGTAAAAGCCCTAAATGTTCTTTTCCACTGAGATATTTCTAGAGCCACTAATTTTATGTTTTATTTTTGAGACAGGATCTCTTGTATCAGGCTGGCCTTGACCTTGCTATGTAGCCAAGAACATTTCTACTGTCTGGATGTACAGGCTTGTACTACCATACCAAGCTTATGTGGTATTGGAGATAGAACTCCAGACTTCGTCCATGCTAGATATTTCTCTTTCCTTCCCTTTCCCTTTCCTTTCTATTTCCCTTTCCCCTTCCCTTCCCCCTTCCGTTCCCTTCCCTTCCCTTTCTTTTCCCTCTCCCTCCCCCTTCTCCTCTTCCTCCTTCTCCTCTTCTTTTTTTTCTGTGACAGATTTCTCTATGTAGCCCTGATTGTCCTCGAACTAGCTCTGAAGACCGGGCTGGCCTTGAACTCATGGAGATCTGCCTGGTTTTGCCTCCTGATTAAAGGAGTACAACACCCCTGCCTGGCTGCATGCTTGATATTTCTTACTCTTTTAAAATTTATCTTTATTTACCTTGTGTGTTGATGTGAGTATATGCTGTGTCTTTGCAGGTGTCTGGAGAGGGCAGAAGAGAGTGTCAGATCTTGTGGAGTTATAGGCATTTGTGAGCTTCCTGATGTGGGTGTTGGGTACCAATTTCAAGTCCTTTGGAAGAGAAGAACAGCAAGTGCTCTCAACTGTTGAACTATCTCTTTTGCACTCACAGTTGATATTTCTAATACTTAAATACTCTGATTTTCTTTCAGCTACTGAGATTGTAATACAGTGTCTTAAAAAAGATTTATTTTAAATTACTTTCTGTGTGAGTATGTACCCATTGGATCTTCTGTAGTTAAGAGTACTGTTTTCCTCTAAGCCTTCTCTCAAGTCTCCCACTTTTATACTATTAAACCTTTTAAAAAGTATAGACTGAGGAGATATTAAGTACCTGCTGTACAATCAGGAGGACCTGAGTTCAAATTTCTAATACACAAGTTAAAAAAAAAAGCCAGGTGTCATTATGTATCTCCATAATACTAGGGCTAGGAAGGTGGCAAGAGGACTCAGCTCAATGAGAGATTGTTTTAAAATAAAATAAAATAAAAGATAATAAAGTAAGGTGGAGCCAGGCAGTGGTGGCGCACGCCTTTAATCCCAGCACTTGGGAGGCAGAGGCAGGTGGATTTCTGAGTTCGAGGCCAAGTTGGTCTACAGAGTGAGTTCGAGGACAGCCAGGGCTACACAAAGAAACCCTGTCTCAAAAAACCAAAAAAAAAAAAAAAAAAAAAAAAAAAACCAAAAAAATAAAATAAAATAGTAAGATGGAATGCAATAGAGGAAGACATTTGATATCAACCTCTAGCCTCCACATACATACACATACATGTATATCCTAATGAATATATACAGACATAAAAATGTGCAGACATGTTACATACACAAAATAAAATAAAAACTTAATATTTAGGGATGCATAGCCACATAAGTTTATTATCAATATATATGGTAGTTGTTGCCACTTGAACAAGGTTAGACATATTTGGAAACAAGTGTGTGGAGGACTTCAGAGGGTAACAGTATTCTGCTTCTTAGACCTGCCTAAGTGGGTCCTCTGTGTTTTGGTTTCTGATAATTCACTTACTTTCTTTCTTTCTTTCTTTCTTTCTTTCTTTCTTTCTTTCTTTCTTTCTTTCTTTTTCCATTCATTTTTTTTATTGGATATTTTATTTATTTACAATACAGATGTCATACCCTTTCCCCATTTCCCCTCCCTAGAACCCCCTATCTTATACCCCCTCTTCCTTTATGGTTTTATACCATTTTGATTACATGCATGTATTAAGGTCAGTTCTAGGTTTAGGGTCTAGTAATACAATAGAAGCAAGTAGTTGAGGAACAATCAATACAATAAACACAAATAGTCAAAGAAAAAGCAAGGCATTAAACCAGTTTACGTAAACACTTCTGTGATCACTGTTTCTAAAGGCTTATCAGATGACCAAAGTGTCTGAGCCTACTTCCCTATCCTAGCCCAAGGTAATTTTCATGTCTGAAGCCTACTTCCTTGTTCTAGCCTAAAATTTAGATTCCTGTCTGAAATTACTTCTTTGTTCTAGCTTAATATTTAGATTTCTGCCTGAGATTACTTCTTTGTTGTAGCCTACAATTTAGATTCCTACTGGAATTACTTCTTTGTTCTAGTCTAATGTCAGATTCCTGCTTGAAGCCTACTTCCTTGTCCTTGGCCCATGTCAGTCTCTTGCCAAGCAGCCCCAAAGGCTTTCCCCCTTTTTAATTTCGTTAAGAAGACTGAGCCTGTCTTAGGTTATTCTGACAAAAATACCTTCCTTACCCATCATGGAATATGCATTATCAAAGGCAATGGACTATTGTCTTAGGTTGGTAAGGCTCTGTGCAGAATCTTACCCATCCTTGGCTTGCCAGCCTGTTAATTTAATAACTCTGTCTGGGGGTTCATTTTTAGATTTTAATCCATGTACTTTGGCTACCAACATGTTGATGTTGTTAAAGATAAGCTTTAACACGATGGGTAGGAATAAAAGTATTCCCAGGACAATAAGGGCTAGCTTGATCAAGCTATATATGCCATTCCTGCGGTTTGACCAAAATGGAAATACTGAGCTAAGGCCATGGATAATTTTATCGGCAATATAATTCACTTTCATTTTTTGTAAGATTCTATCTTTCAATCTTAATTTTTTTTGAGATTTATTTATTTATTTTATATATGTGAGTACATTGTCTCTATCTTCAGACACACCAGAAGAGGGCATCGGATCCCATTTCAAAGGGTTGTGAGCCACCATGTGATTGCTTGGGAATTGAACTCAGGACCTCTGGAAGAGCAATCTGTGTTCCTAACCACTGAGCAATCTGTCCAGCCCCATCAGTCTTAAAATATTTTAAGAATTTTTTTTAGATATTCTGGTGCAAGCATGCAGTCCCAGCATTTGGAAGGAGCAGGAGGTATTTAGGGGCATTCCTAGATATGTAACAAAAAGTCAAGGGCAGTTTGGGTTCCTTAAGAATTTGTCTGAAAACACCAAAAACAAAACAGAAAGTACTCCCCATGTTGAAAGAGGCATACCATGGAAATAGTTACACATTAAACTTTCCCCCATCGTCACAGAAAGCTGGTTTTCAGACATGTGTTCATTTGCTACCATGCTATTTGCCCATAAAGGCGAGTTAGAGGGACATAGGAAGGCAAGGAAGGTGAAAGCGAGTGACACAGAGATGGCTGCTTCTTGTTACCAGAAGACATTATGGAAAATAATGCGAGGAGAACCAGTGGGAAGGCACATAGGTTGGTGTGTAAAAAGGACCAATAGGAGAAAGGGGAAATTCAGGGTCCCTGTAAAATACCCAAGGCAGCATCCATTTAAATGGACTTCTAGGCTCAGGCCGCACTCATCCCGAACATGTAAAGCTTTAACCTCAGTTTGTCTTGGTTTTCCTGGGCAGTTAGCTCTTTACACTTAGTCATTTTGTATGCTTTAAAAAAGCCATAAAACAGTGAAAGCAGTTGTTATGAGTGGCACTAAAAATGAGACAAGTGTAGTTATGAATGTCAGTGAATTTTGTTACAAAGAATCATATATCCTTACTGCAAAGTACTAATGAGTGTTAACAGTACTTTTCCTACAGAGGTGTTGAGAAAATGTTAAAATATACTTAGTTTGGAGTTCCAGGTTAATATTTTGTTTTGTTTTCAGGTGATTCCTCCTAAGGAGTGGAAGCCAAGACAATGCTATGATGATATTGATAATTTGCTTATCCCAGCACCAATTCAGCAGATGGTCACAGGGCAGTCGGGACTGTTTACTCAATACAACATCCAGAAAAAAGCCATGACTGTGAAGGAGTTCAGGCAGCTGGCCAACAGTAGCAAGTGAGTCAATTGAGTTTATTTGTATTTCTTCCAAAGAGGTATGTGAGGCAAGAAGCCAAATAGACAGGGAAGCCTCAGAAGGCTGTAATGAAAAACAGGAATGTCCTTTGTCATTTCTTGTCTTCATCTCTGGTTTCTGTTCTTCAAATGATGGCTTACTAATATTTACTTATTTCTAAAGAAATTGTTCCACATTTTATATATAATCTCATTTGTAAAATCTAGAAATGGTTCTTTTTTTTTTTTGGTTAAAGGTTTTTAGTTCTTTTTAGCTTTGTTAGGGAAATTTTTATTCATAAGTTTTGTTTAAGACTAAAATGAGTACTAACAATTGAAAAATAATGTTGAATGAATAGGAAAATATCTATTATATCAGTTATCTATGATATATAACAAATTCTTAAAGTTACTCTCTAAAGCTAGCTCATAGTTATAAAAGTCAGATACCTAGGAGTCATGTAGACGAGTGAGTAAGCTTAGGATTTCTGCCACATTTACTGTTAAGGCTTTGATTGGGAGGGCTGCTGCTTGATAACTTGGCTGCAAGATTTTTCCAGGAGGCTACAGTCTTTATGGGGCTAAAGTCCGTGCTGCTTATCCTTTAAGTGGAACTTTGCAAATATATAGAAACATGGATATATTACTATTTTCTTTATCCTACACCAGTCCTGCTATCCACTCACACATCTTTAAAAAACATATTTGAGTAAATGGCAGACATTAGTCTGGTTTATCTTTAGTACTTCTGCATGTGTATGTAACTTTAGAGTTCAAGATTTGCTTTCTTTTTTTATTTTTATTAAGTTTGTTCTTTGACAATTTCATACATGTATTTAACATTCTGGTACTTTACCCACTACTGATTCTTATCTCCCTAACTCCTGTGTCAGTTTCCTCTCCTAATAGGTCCCACTCCCGTGTTTTGCTTTGTTTTGTTGTACGACCTATTGAGTTTAATAACGGATGTTTGAGCAGTCATGATCCTGGGCTTATAAATATTGAATGGAGCCAGGTGGGCTCACCAGTGGGTGGGTATACAACTGAAGATAATGACATCCTTTTTTCCAAATCCATCACTAGCCAATAGATTCCCCCTTCCTTTACTTACAGTTGACAGTCCAATATTGTGCAGACCCATAGTAGACAGCCACAGCTTCAGTGAGTTCATGATCAGAATGTCTGCGTCCTGTTTAATAGATGGCACATCTTTGTTGCTTCTCTATCTTTCTGATCCTGCATTCTTTTTTCTTCCTCTTTGGTGGTGTTCCCTGAATCCTCATAGAGTGGCAGTTGGCTTCTTCCATAGAAATTGAGTAGGGACATAATATACTGAATGGGGAGAAGAATGAAGTCTTACTTTTTGTTTTAGAGGCAGGGAGGGAGATAGCCTGTCACTGTAAAGCTTAGGTTGACATTGAATTTGTGGTCCTTTTGTCTCACTCTCCCAAGTTCTGGGTCTATAAGTATGTGCTACCATACCCAGCAAAGTTTTATTTCTTGAAGGGAAGACTATTAAAGAATTTATGGATATATTTTTAAACCTTAGTGTTTCTTATGTGGTATTGGATGCCCAAAATAAAAATCTTAATCTAAAACTGGGGATTCAGCTCAGGTGGTGGTGTGTTTGCCTAGCATGCATGAGGCCCTGTGTTTAATCACCAGTACTTATAAGCCTGGCTTGATGATATATGCACCTAACTCTAGAAGGAGAGGCAAAAGGATCACTTACAGGTTAAAAGTCATCAGAAAGCCCTTTTAAAACTGACTATTCCTGCTCTTCCCTCTTTTTATAAAATCTCAGAAAAAAGCTCAACCTTAGAACAACAATAAAATCTCCCAAGTATTTTAAAAAACATGCCAAACCTAATAGGCTAATCAAAAATTTTACTGTTTAAATTTCTTTATTTTATTTTATTTTATTTTTATTTTTTTTTTTTATTGGATGTTTTATTTACATTTCCTATGTTGTCACCTTACCCCATCCCCCACCCACCCAGGAACCCCCTATCCCCCCACCCCTCCTCCTTCTTCTCTGTGGATGTAACCTCTACCTACCCCCCCCACCCCCCACCCCCCAAAATTCCCACCCCCTGGGGCATCCAGCCTTCATGAGATCAAGGATCTCTTCTTCCACCTATGCCCAGCAGGGCCCTCCACTCTTACATATACAGCGGAAGCCACGGATCCCTCCCTAAGTGCTCCCAGGCTGGTGGTTTAGACCCTGGGAGCTGTGGTTGGTTGGTATTGTTGCTCTCCTCATGGGGCCACAAATCCTTTCAGCTCCAAAGGCCTTCACTCTAACTCCTCCATTGGGAACCCCATGATCAGTTCAATGGCTAATTGTGAGCATTTGCCTCTGAATATGTCAGACTCTTGCAGACCTCTGAGGAGACATCTATATCAGGCTCTTATCAGCATGCACTTCCTGACTTCCACATCAGCATCTACCTTTGGTGACTAAATTTCTTGTATGGTTGTTAGTGGAAGCAAATCTTTGGATGAATTTAGCTGATAAATTATAAAAGTAACTTGTGTGCATGAGTTCATATTTAATATAGTATACAGAAGATGAAGAGTCCTTCCTGTTATTTCTAGTGTAGTGTAAAAATTAAGTTAAAATTTGAATTAAAAAATATACTAGTAGACCCCATTCTTTTAGATATTATTGAGAATGGGACTTTAATTATAGATTGAGTACCTCATCATTTATAATATTAAGAAATTTTATTAGCCCATGTGCGTGTGTGTGCATGTGTGTGTGTATGTATGTATGTATGTATATATGTATGTATGTTTGTGCATGTGTGTGATTGTGAGTGTGACGTGTTTGTGTGAGCATTCGTGTTCTTCACAACTTTTGTGTGGTGATTTTGGGACAACTTTGTCAAATTGGTTCCAGGAGTGGATTTCAGGTCTTTAGGCTTCTGAGGCAACTACCTTTATCCAGTGAGGCATCTTGCTGGCCACGTAATTTTTCTAATTATTATTCTTATTATTTTGCTGCTGAGGATTGAACCCAGGGCCTTTTGATTGCTAGCCAAGTTCTTTACTATTGAACTAAATCCCCAAGCCCCCCTAGAGTTCTTTTATAAGTACAATGAATGATGATGATGATGTTGATGATGATGATAATGATAATAGTGCAGAACCAATTTTATCAAATCTGTTATAAAATGTTTATTTTGTCTCTTATTTATCTAATATTGCTAGGATATGTTGCTCTTAAGTTGTTAATAAATGAATTCACTGAGATAAACATTTGCTGCTATAATGATAGTTCAAGAGATAGTTGTACTTAAGAGTAATCAGATTATATATACTAAAACAAAGTAGTATTCTTGATCCAGTGAGATGGCTCAGCAGGCAAAGGTTCTTTTCTGTCAAGACTGACTTTCTGAGTTCTGTGCTTGGGATTTACATTGGGGAATGAGAGAACCAACTCCCCACAAATTGTCCTTTAATTTCCGTGTGGCACACTTGTATGAAAACATGCACAATAAAGAAATGAATTTAATTAAAAAAATCATATCTGGCAAGCATTATATCTCTGAAAACAGTGCTATGTGGCTTTTAATGACTATAAAGCTTTTGTAAGTGTTGTTGAGATGGATTTTGAAGGAAGATCAAATCTTTCAAACAGTTACAAAAGTAATACATACAGGTGATATTGGTTTGTTTACCACTGCATACGGTGTAACTTGATCTATGAAAGGTAGTTTTACTATATAAATTGAATGGATAAATAATGTTATGATAGCAAAAATACATTTGAAGTTCTAGAAATTATTAGGTAAGTTATAAACATTTACTTAATAAAACTATACATTTCTTGGTTTTCTGTAGTGATATGTATAGTAAAGCCTTTGTGTCTGGCTTTCAGTGAAATGTATCAGCAAAGATTTTACTATGACTGGGGAAATCAGTAGAGGCTGAGAAATTGTTTTGAGACTGTTTGAATTGTGAAGAAATGTCTTTCTTCTGGAATCATCTACATTTGCTACTACATGAGAGCTTACAACTGCACCAATCTTGTTCCTGAGACACTCTTGGCAAACTTGGAAATTTTACTTTTGATTATGGCTAGCCATGGTCAAAAAGGTCTGAGATATAGATTGACCATTTCTTGGGCAGCAAGGGCAAGATAACTTTGGTAGTTGGAACTTTTTCTAGCCCTAATTACTTTGTGTGATGATTGAATAAAGTAACTGGAGTGAGCTAGTTGGGATCAGTCTTTTTCAAGAAGACTGAACCCCTCTGCTCCTTCAAAAAATGAAGGCTTAGCAGCATATTGGTATACTTCTCTCTTCTTTGACACCCATGAACATCAACTAATGGTATTCTGTAGTTTGATGATAATTTTTAGACGTAGCTGGTTTTCTTTTTAGTTATAAAATGTAATCATAAGGAGTTGTTTGAACCATTTCTAGATTGAATTTTATTTCTTTCAAAATCAATTTACCTCTATGTTTTGAATTATTTTTTTCATAATGATTATAGTGTTAAGATGTTATGATGCTTAGTTTTTGTCATTTTGACTGACATAAGATAGAATCACCTAGGAAAAGGAAATCTCAGTTGTGAAAATGCATGCCTATATCAGATCGTATGTAAGTAATTCTGTAGGGCATTTTCTTGATTAATGATTGATGTGAGAGAGCCCATCTAACTGGGGATGATGACACCCTTTGGCTATTGGTCCTGTATTATAAGAAAGCAGGCTAAGCAAGCCATGAGGAGCAAGTCAGTAAGCAATGTTCCTCTATGGTCTTTGCTTTAGTCCTGCCTCCAGGTTCCTGCTCTTTGAATTTTGTCTTGGTTTCTCTAAGTAATGAATTGTTATTGGGATATGTGAAACAAATAAACCCTTTCTTCCCAAATTGTTCTTGTTATGGTGTTTATTACAGCACTAGAAAGTAAACTAATTTGTGTGTATGTATGTGTATTTAAAATATACATATATTTCTACTGGTAGTTTTATGGGGAAATTTACTGCAAATGTTAGTGGTCTATACTCTTGAAATTTTGTCCATACAAAGCATTTGGTCTTGATAGTAGTTAAAGACTGGTTTTGAGAGGAGTACATTTTTAATTGTTTCTTATTAGCACATGTATTTGCATATGTACACAGTACACAGTTTGTTTGGCCTTACCAGTATAGAGGATAAAATACTTCAACATGTGGCTGATAAATATGTGCTGTTTTGTGTGGCCTATTCTGATCTGAATTGTCTCATGGAGCCTTCTCAACAGCTTAGTTGTTGACTACTTTTTAGAAAAATTAAATATGTGTACTCTATTTTCATCTTTTCTTCCTTTCCCTTCTTTAGCTATTCTTGCCTCTCCTACTCCCTCTCAAATTGATGTCCTCTTTAATTATTGTTACACACAATACTTTTCTGTAAGTATAGGATAAATATGTAGACTACAGTTAGACATTAGATATCTTAGTTAGGATTTACTTTGCTATGAAGTAGCACCATGGCCAAAGCAACACTTATAAGGACAACATATAAGGATATCATAAAGGTAACATAATTGGGGTTGGCTTACAGGTTCAGAGGTTCAGTCCATTATCATCAAGATGAAAACATGGCAGCATCCAGGCAGGCATGGTACAGGAGGAGCTGAGAGCTCTACATCTTCATCTGAAGGCCATTAGAAGACTAGCTCTTATGTGGTTAGGAGGACTGTCTCATTGCCCACCCCTACAGTGACACACTGCCTTCTCCAAGAAGGCCACACCTACTCTAAAAAGGTCAAATTTCCTAATAGTGCCACTCCCTAGACCAAGCATATAAAAACCACCAAATTGGTTTAGGAAAGTGGCAGTAGTAGGTTGTCCTCTAAGGTTACATGGATTCACCAGCCTTAAAAATTGGCTGCATTGGGGCTCAGTGGTTAAGAGCACTGGCTGCTTTTTCAGAGGTCCTGAGTTCAATTCCCAGCCACCACAGATCGTGGCTGACAACCATCTGTAATGGATCTGATGCCCTCTTCTGGTGTGTCTTAAGACAGCTGCAGTATACTCATAGGAATAAAATAAATAAATAAACAAGTAAATAAATAAATAAATAAATAAATCTATCTTAAAAAATAAAAAAAAGTTGACTGTGCTTACAATACCAGACATGAATTTTCTCTTACTAAGCAAGTCTTAAGTTCAATTTATTGGTTATTGCTGAGATATAAGTGCCACTATTGTATCTTTGGTGATAATTTGCTATACTGGTCATTGCTGTAGTTCATTGACTTTACAGCTAGGTAGGAGTACTGGCTCTTTTTCTATTCTGAGCTTGCATAGTAACATCTGGAACTGTGAAAGCTGGTCCTCAAGGTGGAGGCTTCCGAGTAAGCTGCAACTCATATTCCTCCCAGAACATGTGCCTTCAGCAGTAGGGATTCACTTTCCGCCCTTGGGAGGCAACCAAGGGCAACAGCAGCAGCCTATGATGTTTGAGTGTCTCTTCGATTTATCTGACCAACAACTGGAAAGGAAGTTTCTCATGTCTGGTTGTGTGGTTGCTATTAATTTATTGCTCTTGATGGGAGCATTAGTACCCCAAGTGGTATAACTGTTCATGCACACACTCACACATACCCAATTTTAGATAAATATAAAATAGTATGATGTCATATAGCTTCTTCAAACTTTCTTGGTATTATCCTCATACCCACCATAACCCTGCCCCTTTCTCAACCTTAATTGTAATTAGAGTTCTAGGGTTGCCAAGGCAGGAGGTGCCTGGTCATGAGCCTCTCTTTTTAGAACTGTGCCACAGTGAGTGAATGGTTCTGAGAATGTATTGAGTCAGTTTTGAGTAAATTGGCTTTTGGAGCAACTGTAATGGTATGGCAGCATATTAGGATGGACTTGAGCTAGTATTCAGTAGAATCTGGCAGTGTTTACTGAAGTGCTCACTTCTAGCTAGTTTGAATACACATTTCAAATACTTAAAGATGTAAAACTTTAACGTTAATTAACAATGCCAGACTTATCCTTTGTATTATAGCATTCAGGTTTAAAATAAATTCTCAATTAGCCATACAATGACAGATTCTATAGTGCTTAAGTGTGGATACTGCTTTTTTTTCCAGAGGAACTGAGTTCAGTTCCCAGCATCCTTGATGGGTGACTCACAGCTACCTGTAACTCTGGCTCCAGGGAACCTGACAGCTTCTTCTGGACTCAAAGAGAACTCGCATGCATGACATACATTCACAGATACTGATAAATAAATTTAAAAAATGTTCATAAATGTCTATGTCATGTGTGTTCTTGATGCCTGTAGAGGCTGGAAGAGAACATCCAATTCCCTGGAGCTGGAGTTATAGACAATTATGAGCCGCAATATGCATGCTTTGAATCATACCTGAGCCCTCTGGAAGAGCAGCAAGTGCTTTTGACTAAGTCATTTCATCTACTGTGGTTCATAGGGATTTCTGCTCTGCTAGGTTTTCTTTCCTCTCATTCATCATGTTATGAATTTATCTCTTTGCTTATTTTCTTCATGAAAAAAAAAAAGGTATTTGTCTTAGTTATTTTTCTTGTTGTTGTGACAAAATATCCAGATAAAAGTTAAACAAGGAAGAGGTATTTGGTTTAAAGTTTCAGAGGATACAGTCTATAGTGGCTGAGAAAGCCATGCTCATCCATAGTCAGAATGAAGACCGGTAGTGAAGACTGGTCTCACCTTGCTTTCTTCTTTTTATTTAGTCCAGAGTAGAACTTTCCACATTTAAGGAAGGTCTTCCCATTTAATTTATTTTAGGTAATTTCTTATAGACATGCCTAGAAATGTATGTTTTTAATGATTCTATATCCTGTTAGGTTGAACTTCAATATCTGTTATAACAATATTACTGCTTAAAATATGAAATAATTCAGAGAAGTATATTTCTTTAATTATTTTGTGAGAGAAAACTTTTTAAAACGACATTTTAATTTTTTCCTTTTATGTGTATGGATATTTTGTCTGCATGCATGTCTCCATATGATTCGTATTAAATGGCTGCAGAGGCCAGAAGAGGGTATTACATCCTCTGGGATTGGAGTTGCATAGTCTGTTGTGAGCTGCCTTATGGGTAGTGAGAATCAGACCCTAGTCCTTTGCAAAAGAAGTTAATGCCTTTATGGCTGAGACATCTGTTATCAATCAGGATTTATTGTTTTATCTGGATTATGTGCATATTCATATGTGGCTATGTTCATGATTGCCAGTACTCAGGGGGACCAGAGTTGTTGGATTCCTTAGAGCTAGAACTACAGGCAGTAAATAGCCTATTGTGGGTACTAGCAGCCAAACTTGGGTCCTCTGCTAGGGTCCTCTGAGCTCTCTCTTTATACTTTTTTCCCCTACACATAGGATTTTATGTAGTTCAGGCAGGCCTTGAATTTACCATGTAGCCAAAATTGGCCTAGAACTCTTGATCCTAATGACTCTGTCTCTTGAATGTTGAAATTATAGGCATGTACCATCATGTTCAAAAAGTTAATTGTTAATTTTAATAATTTGATATACAATTTCTTAGGCTCTCTTTCTAGTCCAAGTTGGCCTTAACTCTTGATGTAGCTAAGGTACCTTTTCTATAATTTATGGTTTTCCTTTTGTCTTCCAAGTGCTGAGTTTATAGGGATGTGCTACCATGACATACTAAGGTAATTCTGGGGATTTGTTAACTCTGCCGTCCTGTCTGATAGACAAGCAGTTTACCAAGGAGCTGGGTTCCTACCTCCAGAGTTCTGTTTTTATTTTAATTTTTTTTTTTTTAAAAAAGCAACGTGATTACAGTGTACACACTAATTTCTAAACTGGTGTAGTCAGTATGGAAATATTTTAATGTCATTACATAGAAGACCTACCTTATTTTATGTTTTAATCATTAATTACTGGCTATTCAGTCTGATAGGTAATATTCATTATCAAATTGACAGGACCTATGATCACCTAACACAAGTCTCTGAGCATGCCTGTGATAGTTTATTTATATTAGATTAATTGTGATGGAAATACCTACCTTAACTGGATAGTGCCTTTGTATGGGCTGTGATCCTGAAGTGGAATATAAGGAGAGCTGTACTGAAGATTAGCATTAATCTTTCTTTGATTCCTGAACACAGATGATGATCAGTCATCTCAAGCTTCATTGCTAAGTGAGCCCTGCTTTTGTCAGGGTATTTATCACAGCTATAGAAAGTAACCCTTACTCATTGTGTTTCTAGCTATTCTACTGTATACCTCCTCCATTTGTCATTGTCTGCAGTTCTGTGCTGGTGAGAGGAATTTATAAATTCAGTTAGAGGGCATATAAAATTTTGACATGATATGTGATGAGAAATTATGTTCTGGAAAGATTGTGCTAGTTTATTCTTCAACTCTAACTACATAAGTTTTTTTTTCCTTTTTTTCCCCCCTATCATTAGTATATTAGGCAGCACCAATCCAGTAACTAGAGTATCTTATCTTAGTTTTACTGTCTTAGAATTTTATAGTTTTTTTCTCAATTTTCTATAGATGTTCTGTTTCTTTTTCTACATAAATTTGTATAATGATCTTGTATAATTGATTAAATATTTTAGAAATAATTTGAAAGCTAAATAATGATGCCTTTATTTGTATGTTTTGGAAACCTGATAAAGAATATAAGAAATTCTATAGAGCTTTAAGTATAAAATCATTTACATATATTACTCATTAACTTTGATACCATGAGAGTATGCAATGTTTTCATTTACAAAGTAAATTAAATTAGATGGGTAGAAAAATCTTAAAATTGCCTTACTGGTTTGTGGTTTTTACTTTTAATTTTTTATAGATACTGTACTCCAAGATATATGGATTATGAAGATTTGGAACGCAAATACTGGAAAAACTTAACTTTTGTGGCACCTATTTATGGAGCAGATATAAATGGGAGCATATATGATGAGGTATATTTACACTTATGTTGTGGCTTTTAAAAGATTTTTTGGTGATATTGCTTTTGCTTTCTATTTTTAGATAGCTTAGAAGTACTCAATTGTATTTATTTTATTCATTATGTTTTATTTATTAGTTTTGTATCTGTACTTTTTAAATATGAGAGGAAAAAAAACAGTAGGATTTTTTCCTTCTTTTTTTCATTCCCTGCCTATGGCTCACTTTTCCTGTTTTTATTTGTTTGTTTGTTTTGTTTTTTATATTGTTGTTTATTTTACATTATGTGCATGGGTGTATCTGTGGGTGAGGATATGCATATTTGTATGGAAGCTTGTGGAGGTTAGAGACATTGGATGTCTTGGAGTTTAAGTTACAGGTGGTTGTGAGTACTCTATGAATATCCAGGTCCTCTGCAGGATCAGCATTCAGTATTAAACACTGAGCCATTTTTTTCTGTCTCCTTCCCCACACCTTCTTCCCTTTGCTGTCTTTTGAGTCAGTGTCTTAGACAGTTCAGGCTAGTTTAAAACTTGCTGCTTAACTGAGGATGACCTACCTGTTGCCATGCTACAACTGTGACAGATGTCAACTAATTTATAGGATATATTGAGGTTGTCATAATTTCTCTAACATTACTTACAATTAGTTATAATAATTCTTCTTCTCCTGTATATAGGATATAGTGATGAATTACTCTTTTAGGGCTAGAGATGCAGGTCAGTGACAGAGAACTTGCTTGTCATGTATGGCATGACATTTTGCAGTCGTGAGTTCAATTCCTTGGGCTGCAAAAACAAGCAAGCAAATAAATAAATAGAGGATGAATAAATTTCATTGTGTAGTTAATAAGCACATGAATTGTAGGGTATTTTTGTAGTAAATATTTTGTTCCCTAACAGTCTTCCTTGTTCTCTGTGCATTGACGTACATTGTTAATCCTTGCCTTAGTATTAATTTAATAAAACTTTTTTTCAAAGTAAAATAAGTTGAAAAGTGCAGATCTTAGGGTTTCTGTTGCTACAACAAAACGTCATGACCAAAAAGCAAGGTGAGGAGGAAAGAGGTTATTTCTTCCATATTGCTGTTCATTATTGAAGGAAGTCAAAACAGAAATTTAAACAGGCTAGGAATGTGGAGGTAGAGGCCATGGAGGAGTGGTGCCTCTTTCTTATGGCTTGCTCAGCTTGCTTTCTTGTAATACCCATGACTACTAGCCCAGAGATGACACCACCCAAAAGGGACTGGGCCCTGTCCATCGATCACTGGATAAGAAATGCATTACAGATGGATCTTATTGAGGCATAAAGTTGTCATAAGACTAGCCAGCACAGTACATAAAACACAGATTCAGAACATCATGACTTCTTGTACATCAACATTTTTGTGTCATTTCTGACCTCAAGAAAGAATTTTTTCAGCATCCTTTTTCCTCTAAGCATGCATTACCTGTTATAGGCTCTTCCTCCAGTGATAAGTATTATTCTAACATCATAGTAACTCTCTCTTTTCTTATAACAACATAGTTCACTGTGGCCTGTTTATGAACTTTATGTAGTTTTAGGTCATTTGGTGTATGTTCTTTCTTGTTTTTCTCTTTCTCACTCTTATTCCTCTCTTTGGACAGTTTCTTGCCATGTAGCAAGGCTGGTCTTGAAGTCTGTCCCTCTGCTTTTTCATCTTTCCATCCCTAGTTCTGGGATTATAACTGCATTGTATCAGAAAACCTTCTTATTTTATTTCCAAATAATTTTTTGAATTATTAGCTATAGTTCATTAGTTTTAATGGCTCTGTGATTTGGCTTTGTAAATAAGCTATAGTTTGTCCTTTTGTTATTTGTTATTAGGGTTGCTTTTATTTTTAGTTTTTAGGAACAAGGCTTCTATGAATCTTCTGGAAATGTTTCCTAAGGCATGGAAACATACTTTCTTGTTGGTATAGATAGGTATGGTTGTAGATAAATACCAGACTGGCTTTAGAAGAAAACATTGCAGTTTATAATCATTCTTTTTGGAGCAGTGTTTGAGTTTTTGCTCTTCCTTAGCCTTCTGTTGACTTTAGCTATTCTGTTAGGTTTAATATCTTGTGTGGGTGTTTTGTTGTTGTTTTGTTTTCTTGTTTCCCCTTGAGACAGGAATTCTTCTGTGTAACAAACAGCCTGGATCTGTAGATCTAGCTGGCCTTGAACTTACAAGTTTTTTGATAAAAGATGTGTACTACCGTTCCTGTTTATCTTGTGTTTAATATCTGCCCTCTCAGGTCCATTGTCGAATACCCTCTCTTACTCTTTTGTTTCTCCTTCTCGTCTCTCTTGTTTTCCATTCTTCCCTCTCTAGTCTGCTCCTTGTTTCTCCCTTCTGTCCCCTCCCCTCTCTTTCCCTCCCCTCCCCTCCTTCCCTTCCTTCCTCTTATTTCTTGTGCCTTCCAGTCCTGTAGCGTGTACTTTCTACCACACTTTAAGCTCCAGGTAGACCACACTACCAGCTACGCCCTGAATCCGCAGATGAAACACACACACACACACACACACACACACACACACACTCATTTTTAACCTGCTCAGCGGCTGGGCTCTTCTAAGCCTCCCACTGGTAACATGTCCTTACCTTTACTCCCAGCCCAACAACTCTAAATCTGCTCTCATCTTAGTAGTTACTCAGTTACTTCCTGTGAAGCCCATTGGTCTTGCTGCCCAAGATGCTTTCAGGCTGCTTTCCCTTTTTACCTACATTTTGGAAGATCTTCCCTATAGCTCTGAGTTTGTTCCCTCTTTCTCTCCCCATCTCTCCATTCTCTTCCTCTCTCCTAGCTTGTGGGAATCTAGAAGTTCCTCCTCTGTCTTGGCCACTGACATCTTTATTGATAGATCAAAAACCAGTTCAGGGTGAGGACCTTCAGAGTCAACAGATTTCTGATAAGAGCATCAGAACCACCCCTCTACCCAGTCCTCCCCAACCCCTCTTTTTAATTAAGACAGAATCTCACTCTGAAGCCCTGCATGACCTAGAAATTGGTATGTATTTCATTTCAGTTTGGCCTCAAACTTCTGGTTATCCTCCTGCATCTGGTTCCCCAGGGCTGGAGTTATAGGTATGCCAACTTTTGATTTTGTTTACTCTTTTTTTTCTGAGGCAGGATCAGTATAGCTGAGGCAGGCCAGCATCACTATGAAGTCTAGTCTGTCATCAGACTAATGGAAGTTCCACCTACCTTCATGCCTATAATTCCAGCTCTTGTAAGGCTGAGGCAGCGAATTCCCAGTCTGAGATTAATGTTTGTCCAAGAGCACCATATGGTAAATAAAGTTCTCTCAGCTGTAACTTTGACTGTCACAAAGCCAAAATTGTTCAAAAAGAAAGAAATAGTTGCTTATCATAATATACTTTTCAGTGGCCAGTAGGATTGTTCTGTGAATACTCACATGTCAGGTAACAACTGGCTGCAATTCTAGTTCTAGGAGATCTGACATTTTCACACAGAAGTACCTGCAGGTGAAGCATCAAGTCATGTAAAATAAAAAATAAAGTTAAAAAAATTAACTTGTGGGATGGAGAGATGACTCAGTGGTTAAGAGCACTGACTGCTCTTTCACAGGTCCTGAGCAAGTGATACCTTTCTTACAGTCCTTTCAGATGAAATGGCATTTGAAGACACATGTCACTTTATTAGGAGAAAATGAGATGACATAATTTAAAAAGTATGTTATTGTATGCGCTGCCTTATTCATTGGACAAAATTAGTCACCACTTGTGATAATATTACAGAAAAACAATGCAGACATCCATGAGTTTTAATGAGTCTTTAGTGCAATCTGATTAACATAAAATTTATTTTGTAGTTGCCCTTGTAAGTATTAGTCCTGCCTTCATCTAGCTGTTTATAATTTTTCTTCTGTCTGTTAAAGTTTGACCAAGCCATGACAAGTGCTTGATTAGAAGTCATTGCTTAGGAAAATGCATGTGTTATTTTTAGGAAATATTCTGCTGTCCTGTGAATAAGATTTTTTTATGTGAGGTACCTGGATGGAAAGGTTGACATGTAATGGAACTCAGTAGATAGCCTTATATTATTTTTTTATAACTTATTTTATTTCACATGTATGAGTGTTTTGCTCACATATATGTCCATGGATTACATGTGTGCCTGGTGCCTGGTGTTCATGGAGGCCAGAAAGGGATTTCAATTCCCCCAGAACTGAAGTTAACAGATTGTTGTGAATCACCATGTGAGTGCTAGGAATTGAATCCAGGTCCTGTAGAAGAGCAGTTACTGCTCATAAACTCTGAGCCATCTCTCCAACCTCACTTTTCTGTTTTTTTATAAAAATCTTTTAAAAACATAATTTCTTTGTGGGCAATATATCTTATTATTTATATATAGTGATGAATAGTTCAAACTAGTCATGCAGCCAGCAATCAGGACATCTCACTGATTTTCTTTTCATAGGCCTTCTTTTTTTCTATTTGAATCCCATCACTTTCAGTTAGCCTGAATTGTATGCTCATTTCTTAACTTGAACACCACCACATGCTGCTTCTCTCTCTTTCTTCCCCTCTCTCCCTCCCCCCCCCTTATTTATTCACATACACATACTTTTTGGGTATCCTGTACTTTGTGGATAGTATCCATGTATAAATGACTACATACCATGCATGTCCTTTTGGGTCTGGGTTACCTCATTGAGGATGATATTTTCTAGCTCCATGTGTCCTGTGGTATTGTGGAGCATCTTTTGGCATATGCCCAGGGGGATGTAGGTGGTTTGGGAGGTGGTGCTCAGGCTAGCAGGCTACATCAGGACTGACGATAAGTTTGGGGAAACTGGCATGGAGAACATGAAGGAGAATCTAATTTCCTTACATGAGTTTCAGCGTAGTCTGGCAGCTGTGGGTCCCTAGTAGAAGAGGTGCAGTGGATTGGCACAGTGATAAAGAACTGAAGATGTGCTAGAAGGAAATGAGTGGGGCTTTCAGGAGCATGGGGCAGTCTTGGGTTTGTACTAAGAGGCTTGGTGTAGCATTGCACTATTAAGAAATGGAGATGGATTGGGAAGTAATGTTTCTGTGCATAGAGTACAGCAGGACTACGGACCCTAAGGGGCAAGAATTTCAGTGACGTAGTTTGTTTCTTATTTATATGGTCATTCAGTTTATTATTATGCTCATTTATTAACTTAGATTAGTTACTTCTGTAAAGATTTTCAAATAGGGCTCTTACTAAAGTGTATGGACTGACGTCAAGTTGGATTTGAGTTAAGAAATGGGATACTATAAATACAGGAGAAAAATCTACATAATTTTATTTAACTTTTATGAGGTCTCTTAAGATTAAATCTGCATTTTAAAGTTCTCAGCATAGGGCTTCAGTTGTAGATAGAACAGTTATTTAGGGAACTAAAATGTTTAAATACTTTCTTCTTTTTCTTTTCCTCCTCTTCCTTCTCTTCTTCTTTTTCTTCCTTCTCTTCTTCTTCCTCCTCCTCCTCCTCCTCCTCCTCCTCTTCCTCCTCGTCCTCGTCCTCCTCCTCCTCCTTCTTTCCTGCTTCATCAGTATTTTTCCTTACACAATAGTGTGAATTGACATATGTGTTCAATTTTGGATATTAGACTTTGATTATGAGTAAAGTATTGGGGAGTCAACAAAATAGTTTGCTGAAACATTCTACATAGCTGTGAATTACAGTAAATTAGTTACTGGTTGGTAAATTCTCTTAAAATCAGAATATTTTTCTATTTTTAAGTGTTTTTAGTATTGTTTTGTTTTTATGAGACAACGTATTTTAGCTAATGCTGGCCTTAAACTTGCTATGTAGGCTAGGTAAACTCATTCTCCTGGCTTCAGTTTCCAAAGTTCTGAAACTATACACATTTACTACCATTCCTGCCACCTTTAATGAAAACAAACAAACAACAGCAGCAAAAATTTCCCCTTTAGTTTTATGACAGTCATTTTAACTATTTCTTTTGTTTATAACCACCTCTATGGGCTAAACAAAACTAAACTATTCCAGTAATTTTACCAGAATTTAGATGAGTTGTTAAAAGCTGAAATTATGTATATAAAATTTTTTGTCAATATATACTGTTGCCTTTTGAGGACTATTCTGAGCACAGGGTCTATGATTTGGAAAAATGTAATTTTTTTTGAGTAGCATGAAATATATAGGACACAGTAGATCACATGCTGCAGTAAAATGGACATGACCAAGAGAGAGCTATCAGAAGGCATTTTTTGCTGTTGATTTCCTAAGATTATGTTTCATGTCTAACAGGGCCTCAAAACTAATGTGCAAATATCAAATGAACAGTAAAAATTTCAGCCCCTGAATGTAAATACATACTAATTATCAGTATTGTATTTCAGGTTATTCGCTTTAAACCAGGATTATTATTTGTCAGGAGCCATAATAGGACAAGCAGGTGATCTTCCTGAGATGGTCTGTTTCAGATTAGTATATAATCTGTGACAGATTCACTCTTATTATCCAGGCCGTAAGAGAATTCATTTTAGGAAAGATTCCTGCTATTATTATGCAGTTCCTGTTATTATTAAACATATATAACAATCACTGAGTAATAACACAACCCTTTGAAGCAGATATCTGCAGATCCATGACGATGTACTATCTTGGTAGTGATACTATATAGACAAATATGTGACTTTTAAAGTCTTAATGATAATCCTGTAACAATTCCTAAAATTATATCAATGACTATTAAGCTCTTTTATAATGGGACTGCTATTAGGTCCTTTTCTGATAGTCAGAACTGCACTGAACTCTGCCAGTCTTCCATGTATCACCAGTTAATTGCTCTTAGATTAGTAACCAGTCTTTCTCCTACTCAGAGCACATTCCAAGAGGTTGTAAAACAATTAACCAAAAGTCATAAAAAGGGGACTAATCATTTATTATAGGTGCTAGGACTGAAGATAAAATAATTGACTGGGTTTATCTATACAGAACTTTACTAATAACTTATTGCTTTAAACCTTCAGTGAACCTGTGACAGGTGATGAATGTTTAGCCAGATAATTAGTCCTAATGGATATGCATGTAAACATTCTCTCTTATAAACTTCTATTTCAATTTATGATTTGATTTTGTGTGTGAACTTTTGATGAACTTTTTAATGTGATTATGTATTCTAAAAGCTGCTTAAGTACTGAGGACAAAGAGAAGAGTCAGAACTGAGCTGAGAAGAATTGAGCTGTGAGAGAGAACTGAGAGAAGTTTTTAGACAGAACACTTTTTAGACAGAACTGAAAGGGCACTAAGGGTAAGAGCATTATTGTGACATCAGAAGTAGAGAGCAAGATTAGAAGGAGAATGCAGAGTAGAATAACTTAGAAACTATATAGGTAACCTAAAAAGCGAAGGAAGCAATGTGCAGAATGCATAGGGAGAAGGAGGAAAAAAGAAGCTGCAGAGCAGGCAGGCTTCTCCTCACCATGGGACAGAACAGGTCCTTTCTTACTAACAAGGCAGGCTTATTAATAGGAACAAGGCTTTTTTCTTACAAACTTGGGTTTAATTCATTTAGCATTAAAAGGGTAGAAGCGTTTTCTTTCATCTATGCAGTAATGATTGGAGCTCATTTTTCATCCAGAATGAATGAGTTCTTTCTGTACTGGTGCTCGGTCTTTTGTTCCATGTGTATATGTAAGTAGGGATGTGTGTGTGTGAGTGTAAGTATGTAATTGTGAGAATGTATGCTTGTGTGTGTGATTAAGTATCTAATTGTGAGAATGGCAAGCGGGGCCCACCTGGTTTGAATGGAAATGCATGAATGCACATGTGTGAATCTGTACATGAACTTTTATGCGTATTTGTCTATGTAAAAGTTTTTCCTTCTGCAAGCTTAAGTTATTCTCTTCTCCTGGTTGAATAGATGTTTATTGCTCCAAACTTCCCCCTAGCCTGACAAGTAAGAGGCATCATGACAAAAGGGAGAGGCTCTAGCAATTAATCCTTTATCTCCTGTTCTTTTAAGATGAGGTGCTAAGTACCAGAGAGTACAGTTTCTGGTCTCAGAGGAACTCAGAAGGCAGGTCAGCTTAGACTTAGATAAATAAACTTTTTATTATTATACAGCAATCCTAAATATCTCAGTAAGACAAAGTCTTACTCTCTGCCAACGCTCTTCCCCTTCAGCTGCCTCCAGAAGAACTGACAAGAAAGAAGGCCCTCCACCGGGGCTGGCCCCCAGCAACTACTATTATTAATCCTTTCATTTCATTGAGAATCATGCAGTTATTGGATGCAATTTTACCTTGATAATTATATATAAAATGTGTTGATAGTAATTTTAGAATAATTCTAATAATAGTTTAATGTAACTTTTGAATATGTGCTATATTTTCCATTTTTAAATAATAAAATGCACAGTGTTGTGGTACCTGATGAATAGCTATTTGATTAGTAGGTACTATTTTTCATTTACTAACATTTGATTTTGCTCTTGCCTCTAGGGTGTGGATGAGTGGAATATAGCTCGCCTAAATACGGTCTTGGATGTGGTTGAAGAAGAGTGCGGTATTTCTATTGAGGGTGTGAATACCCCTTACCTCTATTTTGGAATGTGGAAAACAACGTTTGCGTGGCACACCGAGGACATGGATCTCTACAGTATTAATTATCTCCACTTTGGGGAGCCCAAGTCTTGGCAAGTCACTTGTTTAATATTCACATCCATTAGAGTTGTGAATCACTGATTGTTGTTCATTATTGATGAGAATTTACTTCTTTGATAGAATGAGTGTAAGGAAGTTTTGGGTTGTAATCATATTATCCTTCTTTTGAGGAAGCAGCTTCAAGCCCAGTTGTTTGCTGTGGGCATTTTGTAAGCTGTGGATTGATAAATAATCTTGGTCTCAGTAGTTAGTGATGCACCTTTACGTCTTGAACATTTCTTAGCAGTTACGCATGAGATAGGCATGAAAACCTGACTTCCTGTACGTAGCGACTTAAATAACCTTGATAACCTATTGGATCTCTTCGTGACAAGCCTCAGTTGGTATGTTATGTGTGGGTTAGAAGGACAGGAAAAATGAATCGGGGGGCCTGTTAGCACCCTATAGGAGATAGGATTGGGGAGACTGGCAACAGATTTAAGTTGCTGTATGGTGTATTTATTTATTAAGATAGGGTTTTACTTCTCACTACAGGGTAGCCATTAAATCATAGTGAGTTGCCTGAATGCTGGAATTACAAGTATGAGCTTCCAAACTGGTTTGATATGTGGTTGGTTCTAGAGCCCTAGTCGGCCTGAGCTCCTTAGATAAATTATATAGGCTCTTAGTGATCCTTTCCACCTCTGCCTTCTACATGCTGGGATTTGAAACATCTGATATTCCCCCCCCCCCCTTTATTTTTTCAGTAATGACTTTTAAAATGTATTAGTGTAAATTGACTTTTATGACACATTCATTACCTTTTTGTAGTTATTAAATTATTGGTAATACTGTTAATTTTTTGATTTTTTTTAGGGTGTATTCAATTTCAAACATGTATTTGATTTTTTATAATTTATGTATTAGGCTGACATACAGACAGGAGCACATGTTTTATATTTTTGTCAGTATGGGAGATACCATGGTTTGGATGACCTTCAGGGGTACTTTCCAACATGGAAATACTTGTGTCATAAGAAGAGAATAGCCTCTTCCAGACTCCACTTTGATAGAACATTTTGGAATGATTTGCATATACGCATCCCTTTCTTGCCAGTACTTCTCCTTGTATAATTTATGTTATTTTAGTAAGACCAAAAGTGAACATCTTATTGGTCATAAGAATTTTTTTTACTTACTAAAACTTTATTATAAAAAACTTACAAATAAATTATCACACAGTAGAATTATTTGGACCTAAAATCTACACATCTCAATCAACTTCTATACAGAAAGCAACCACTCTAGGAAACTTCACATTGGGTTTTACACTTTATCAAATACATTTTAATTTATTTTCCTACCACCAAAAAAATCTATGATTATATTGAAACTAGGAACTCAACTAGCTCAATACTTGCTTTTCTGACTCCTGTTTTTTACCTGTATTCAGTTCCTCGCCACGTCCTAATATTTTCCCTTTCTTGTTCTTCTTCCTTCATGCTATTCCATACCCACATGCATATCTATTCACACACGTAAGACTAGGATCTACTTGTGAGTGAGAACACATACTTGTTTTCTTTCTAAGAGTATATGACCTCACTTATTATTATGCATTCTAAGTCCTTCTATGATTCTACAAAGTTAGTGATTTCATTTTTCTTTAGAGGTGAATAGTCTTCTGTTTTATTAATGTACCAGGTTTCTATTATCTATTTATTCATCTGTTGATGGACAATTAGATTGGCTCCATTTCCTTGTTAAGAGTATATAAAGCACCAATAAATATGGGTCTATGGCAAGTTATAGTGTTCGTTGTCTGAGGATATATGCTCAGGAGTTAAATTTCTGTATGTCTTAGTTTTCCACAGCAATTTTATATCTAGTAGAATAGGAGTTTCAGAGCAAAGAAAATTCCACTTACTAGCATTACATGTGAGAGTGTTAATTGCTAGAGATGACAGAATTTAGATGGTGACTTGAATATTTCATTTCTAGACTTGGTTAAAAAAGTGAGTAAGAAGCTTTCAGATTTGGTTTATAGAGAACAAGAACATATCTGAAATATGATGACTACAACCATAAAAGACTTTCCTAAATAGCTCTAAAAAAAAAATGTATGGGACTAGTGCTGTAACATAGCTTAATGGGTAAAAGTGCTTATGGCTTGAGTTTTTGTCTCTCAAACTCACATAGTCGAGAACCAACTCCAGCAATTTATTCCAGCCTTCTCTGACTCTGATTCTGACTCTAACTCTGACTCTGTCTCTGTATGTCTTTCATACACCCTCCCCCGCACAGATCAATAGGTATAATAAAATTTTTTAAAACATTTTTATAATAAAATTTTTCTTATTTGAGCATGACAACTTACAAACGACAAACAATCCCTCTGAACAACCTACAACCACCAACCACCTGTCAGGCTCTAGCATGTATATACCCTCTAAAAAGTTCCCAGAATGCCAAATGTGTTAGACGGTCACAGAAACTATCTGCCGCTGGCAAAGCCATGCTTCTGTTAAACATAAGACCAATTATAGTCAGCTGCTCAAAAGCAGCCACATATCCTCACACGTGGGATTAAACATATTATAATATTTCTGCTTTAAAGAATCCAAACTTCCAGAATTCTCTCTATACCCAAGCAGAATCAGGTAGCTGAGGCTTTTACCTCATAGTGTTTAACTGAGTTTAGCTTTGAACTCGCAGTCCTTCAGTGCTCATGTTCTTAGTGCTAGAATAAGAGAGGCACACTACCATACCTGTTTAATTAAATATTCTTTATACTTCCTTAAACATTGTAAATTGTATACAAATTCTTTTGGATTCTTGTAATGACTTGTTTGCTGTGCATTGACTTATATCAACACACCTATAGAAACCACAAGAAGCCTTATTACATGAAAGTAAAATATTAAATCTCAAATCTGAATCCACAGGGAAAAATGATGAAGTTAATGAAATGTATGTGTATTTTATGGGAATGAAGAATTACACTTGAAAATCAGCAAGATAGCTTATTTTTTCATCTCTACATCCTTTTCAGACTGTTACTCTTGCTGTTTCAGTAACAATTTCTAAAAGATGCATGGTGTTTAATCTCATTTTACAAAAGGAGGGGAAAACGGCTTTCATTATATAGAAGCATGCATAGTAGGGTTTTTAGTAGTTTTGTACACATTATCTCTATGATCCCAAGTTTGTTAATTTTTATCAGTTTATGTTTCAGGACTTAGGGCTTGTGAAGGCATATGTTTGTCTTTGACTCCATTTAATTTAATTACATTTTTAAAAATAGCTATTTATTCCAGGTCGTATTTGGAGATTGGGTCAGATGCAGCAGTGGCTGCTGCTGATTTTCCATGAATAGCGTTGTTGACAATGAGCCCGCATTAGGGAGCGGGAAGGTTGTCTGCATATCTGACACTTGAAAATTTAGTTTATTTTATCTGTTGAATATTTTGGAGTTGATATTATGAAAAAAAGGTTTTTATAAAATTTTAAAAAACTCATCAACTAATACTTCATAATTACCCTTCCATGGAAAACGTATTGTTAGATACACAAAAAATATTAAGGAGGTTGAGAAATATGAAATCTAATTTCTTGAATGTTAATTTTCTATACTTATATCACTGGCTTTTATATTAATGATTTCAGACAGACACGTCTTTTATGCTTATGATTCCCTAGGATATTAATGTTCATAGAAGTGGCTACTGAACCTTATTTAGAATTCTAGATTGAAAAGAATATATATTCTATCACACTTTTTTTTTTAAATAAAATCATAATTTTTACTTATTCACACAGGGGTTATAAACACAAAAAGGCAGGATGTGGGGAAGGGGATGACACTGGAGCCTGGATGTTCAGGAGGTGTACAGATATCTTTCAGAACATGGTATCTGCTGAGTGAAGGTTCAGGGGACATGTCACTGTGACTCTGCCTATGTTTCACTTGTCCTTATCTAAGTTGGTATTATCCGCCAAGGCCACCTATTTACAAGATCTATGACTACTCAGGCTGGTAAATTCCCACAAAAGCTGCCTGTTTAGAATAGCTTATAGCCCTCTGTTTCAATGTTTTTCCACAGAGACCCAAGACTTGGTGTTAGTATACATGTATGACAGGCCTATTGCTGATTTTAGGCCTATGGCTGATTTTAGGCCTTCAGTGTATAGGCAGGGCTGCCCCTGACATCTCCTCCCTTCTCTAAGTATAGAAGGGCTGTGTCGATTCTAACCTTGCCAAGGCGGGGAAAGAGGCCTGACCTCCAGTAATTGAAGGGCTCCAGTGAGACATGAGGGCCATACCCATCCCAATGTCTTTTTCCTGGAGAGGAGATGCTTTTGACATCAACCCCTATGCAGTCAGGCTTGACCCTCAGGAACCCCAGAGAAGGGCTCAGTGTTGTTTTCATTTGCATTTTCCTTACGACTAGGGATGCTGAACACTTCTTTAGGTGCTTCTCAACCATTTGAGCTTCCTCAGTTGAGAATTCTTTGTTCAGCTCTGTGCCCCATTTTTTAATAAGGTTCTTTGATTGTCTAGAGTCTAATTTCTTCAGTTCTTTGTATACCTTGGATCTTAGCCCTCTATCAGATGTAGGGATGGTGAAGATCTTTTTCCAATCTGTTGGTTGCCGCTTTGTCCTATTGACTGTGTCCTTTGCTTTACAGAAGCTTTGTAGTTTTATGAGGTCCCATTTGTCAATTCTTGATCTTAGAGCATACGTCATTGATGTTCTGTTCAGGAACTTTTATTTTGTGCCCGTGAGTTCCAGGCTTTTCTCCAGTTTCTCTTCTATTAGTTTCAGTGTAGCTGGTTTTATGTGGAAGTTCTTGATCCACTTGGAATTGAGCTTTGTACAAGGAGATAAGTATGGATCAATTCGCATTCTTCTATATGCTGACCTCCAGTTGGACCAGAACCATTTGTTGAAAATGCTGTCTTTTTTCCACTGGATAGTTTTAGCTCCTTTGTCAAAGATCAAGTGACCATAGGTACGGGGGTTCATTTCTGGGTCTTCTATTCTATTCCAAT